TGTGTGTGTGTGTGTGTGTGTGTGTGTGTGTGTGTGTGTAAGAGGGAAGGGGGGGGGTGTAGTATATGTGTAATAAGGGTAAGTTTGTCTCCCTCTATGGAGAGTAAACCCACCACCCAGCTGGATTCCTTCTGGTCATTTCCTCGGATGCCGTCATGGCTAGGTAGCTATGCCAAATAGATACATTCTTTCCTTGTTTAGTCAAGGAGTTAATCTTGAACTGTAATTAAAAACTGTCTCATGGTTCAAGAGTGTGAAATTGGTGAGTGAAGTGAGGCAAGGCAAGGAATTGGACAGGATGACAGAAAAAAATAAAACAGTAGCCTTTGCAGGAAAAAACGGAGGCCTCGAGATAGAAATTTCTCTCTGTGGGATGAAGAAATAGATTGTAATAAAATTACACTCTTTAAATAAAACTGGAAAAAGTGTCGTCATTTTTTAAAACTTGATTACGCATCTGGCACACCTCCCTGACACATATATACCTCATTCAGGGAGATGAAAAACAGTTGTGTCGGATGCGATACAGATTTCACCTTGAGAAATTTTAACAGAATGTTCAGATTTTGGTTGAAATTATTAGTTTTATATTTCACACGTTGATTGATTTTCTTCATATTTACAAACTAGACTTTCCCTGATTTATCAATACGTTCAATGTTTTGTTAAAACTTGTACTGAGATGATCGAGTTACTGCCCTTTAAGTGGGTCCTCTTTTTAAAGAAAAATATCTTATCACTCTGTAGTTATTATTGCTTGCTACACAGAATATAAATACATGAACACTGTATTGTGACGGATTCACAAAGTGACATAGTGACATAAGAAACAGCATACCTGTCTTGTTGCAGGGCAAATGTCTCCTTTGGCAACTACAAAAAGCTTCACTCCCATTTTTGCAGCCTCACATTGCGAACGAAGGAAGCGGCACTTGTTGTCTAGTTACAGAGAAAATGATAAATCCAATGTCTTCCCGCCCGTTTCAGGGTATATGGTGAGATTTAAACAGTGGGGCTTACAACTGAAAACTTCATCAAACAGGAGTAAAAGTCGAGAGCAATAATTTACTGGCTTGTTCCTACCTACTTATTGGAGTGACAAGTTAACAGCGGGACTACATTGTAAAGTCGTTGAGGGAAGGTATCTTGACTCATATTTGAAACAATTACTTTTAGATTACAGAAAATTTAAAATAAAAATTCAGGCCTTACAATAATGCCTTATAATATATCAAGGTACGATATTGTATCTCTCCCAAGAAATCTGACCAACTTTTCAGACCCATGATAATATTTTTGACTCAGCAAGTTATCTGTAAGGTTGATGTGATTCAGTTGCTGTTACGCAAAAAGTAAAACATTTTGAGAATCAATTAAAAGTTTGAGCTCACTTATAAGAATATTATAGTTCCCTCAAAAGGTTTAATCCTTTTGCTGTCTACAAAATGAATATTCTTTCAAGAAAGTACTTGACACAATATATATAATATATACATGTATAATAAGATTTTTTTCACGTGATGTTGATTATATACCGTGTAAAATTTGGTATCCGAACTGATTCTGTCTTGACAACTGAAATGAACCAGCTATCTGTCTTTTGCTTGTTTGTCTATCTTTCTATCTCACCATAAATCATGCCATCGCTAGCACAGATGGGCGCCTTTTCCTCATTGCACAGATCATTGCAATGATCAGAAACATGGGTTGTGTTGCGACATGTTCCAAAGCTCTTTATGTGAAGGGCACGGCCATGGTACTCCAAGTGGATACAGGAAGCCACGGCGAACTCACACGTCGAAGCTGAGGAAAAATAATTCCGTAATACCAGCCTGGATAATTGGTAACTTGATGTGTTACAAAATGGAGTTATCAAAGTAAAATGAAGCTTTGAGCATCACAAGAAGAGACAGTGCAAGATCGTCAGATAACAAGTTTGCTCGACTCCCCGTCTGGAGTTCTTTACCAACGAATGGAATGGTTTGGTGTGAGCCAGTCTGGAGATATCAGTAGCATGTCGCGCCTGGGCCATTTTAAAAATTTTAGTTTGTGTGCTTTTCTGACTTTATTCACTTTGAAATTTTCAGTTACCTTTTCTCTAAGACCATTATTTCTTTATATATATATATATATATATATATATATATATATATATATATATATATATATATATGTATATGTATATATGTATATATGACTGAGTCCCAAAAGTTGGTTCTTTAAATAGTGCATATTTTCATTCCATCATCAAAGCAGGGAATATGCTACAATGATGTGCAAATTTCTGTGTATAATCAAGTACTTTGAATGAAGATATAACCCAAGAAAGCATTTCTTGTTCCAATAGCTCAATTAAGAGAAATTACAAAAGTATGTGGAAAACATAAAGCGGTGAAAACGTGACATTATATAAATGGTAACTTTAATGAAGGAAAATGCTCAACATCTCATGTTATTTCAGTAGTAAAAGGTTAAGTGTTTAAAAAGAGAACGCATTTTGGCGATTAACTGCCGGGGAGGAAGCCTCACACGGGGTGACAACTCTGGTGAAAGGACATTATGTTTCTCGTCAATTTCACCTTCTATTTTTTTGGGGGGGGGGGAGGGGGGGAAATGAGTCTAAATATGGGCATGTCATAAGCAAAAAAACTTCCTCATTGCAATTTCTGTCCTTTCATCATGTCCGTTCATGAGCGTTTGTTTCTCGGCTTTGCTACAACACTTTTTAATGAACCAACTAGTTCCATATTAACTTCCCCGAAGAGACTGAGCACGTAGTGCTACCATGAAGGAGATAGGAGGCACTTACGTTTTCTGTCATCACTTTTCCAGAAGAGATATTTTTTTAAGATTTCAAATGAAGTTAGTGTCTGTGCAGTACGGTGGCGGAAAATAAATGCGTAGTTTGTTTCAGTTTGTGGTGAGTTCACAATTATAGGGTTGAAAAGTAAAATCTTTTCTCTCTTCATGAAATAATCTAGAATACATCTAAGAAATAAGAATTGTTACCATAATTGACGTGGTCTGAACCACACACGTGTCTCTGGCGGGCATGGCTGCAGTCCCTCTTGCAATGGTCGTTGACATTGTGCAATTGGCAAAGAACTGAAAATGACGGAAAAATAAAGAATAATACATTCCTTGAGATGCTTGAAGAAGACCGTTTAAAGAAACAGTTAGAAGAGCAAAGATGTCACAACATCGGATTCATTGGACTATACAAGTCAAACAGTTCCACCTAGTAAATTATTGTGTTTTAGAGTTAAAAGTACCACTGCCTAACTACGTGGTCAAACAAATCAAAACGTAGAGTTATTCTAAAGCGTAAAGCAATGTCGGTTTCACAGTCCTGAAACTAAGGGATGATGCACTTACGATTGGATGGAAAGTACATGCTCAAACGACTAGTATGTGCTATGGCAAGATTTCCTTTTTTAAAAAGTGACCAAGCTGTCACATTCAAAGGGATGCGTAAACCCGTGCAAATCCTGAACGACAACATCTTTATGTCATCATCTAATATGTACCAGCGACTGCTTTCTATGGCCTGCGTCCGTGGTCCCCCTTGAATCTTCTATATTCAAGTATGAGTTTTCACCTGTGGCTCCTGCCTTATTTCACCACGACGGGAGTATGAGGAAAACGGACAAATCTCTCCTGGCCAGTCACATCATCAACATGTCCCCAAACATTGTTGTAAACGATGTCAACGACAAGCCTCATTATCCGGTGTATGATAGCATCCACATGCTTCATTGTCTAAACTGGACAAAGGTTGGAACAGTGGACACATTGTGTCAGCTATTCGTCAACTGTTTGCTCCACAACAGGACACCAGATGTTGAACTATGTGTCGTCTTTGACAGTTGTGAAACCATAACTACCAACTCACCTGAGCAAAAGAGAAGGAAGACTGCGTACACACTACATTCAGTCGTTGATCTTCATCACAGCACAAATGTGTAGACTGACAAAGATTTGTTCCGTACCAATCTTCAGAATTAGCAAGCATTGGTGGGACTCTTAGGGTCGTCATTAGAGGAACAGGACATTTGTGTTGCTCATGCCAAAGAAGAAGGGGATGGGGACACACCCATTGGGAGAAAGGTGTTACAGTTTGCAGCTGAAGGTTTACCCGTGGTTGTCTTGGCTAATGGTACAGATATACTGGTAAAGCTTCTGTATCATGTGAGCAAGGACATGAAAGTCTACATATCTGAAGCGTCCAAATAATTTCTACTCAAGCAGCTAAAATGACCATAGGTGAGAACATGTGCTGCAGCATCCTGGTTGCACCTGCTGTGTCAAGATCTGACGCAAAGTCTGCTGTCTTCGGAATGGGTAAGCTGTTGCAAAAGACAGAGCATTGGCAACAGAAGACCACTATTTTTGGACAAACAGATGCCAATGTAAAGAACAGCACAGACATAGGAGTCAGGTTCTTGTCATTCCTTTACTGCAGTGGACCGCAAAAGCTGAGCCTTACTGATCTTCGCTATCAACAGTTCATCTCCCCAAAGTACTTTCCACTTAAACGGATGGCTCCAGCAGAGAGAGCCGCACAATTCCATGCCCTTAGAGTACATCACCAGGTCAGTACATGGCTTAATCTGTGCACTGTCTTTGTTGATTACGACTACTTTACTGTGAGTGACAACATTGGGAATCCAGTGATAACTGACAATGCTCCGGCCCCAGATAAACTGATGCGTGAAATCTGCTGTTCGTGTAAGAGCAGCACGCTACTATGAAAATAATGTACTTGCTGCAAGTACAACATCCCTTGCAGTATACATTGTCATTGTAGAGGACAGTATGAAAATGCTTCAGAAATGGACAAAATTTAAACTGGACCTTGGGAAGGAACCGCCGAGCTCAGTATCCTCTAGTTTACACATTGAGTGTGCCTGGCCTACGACGCGGATGGGGTGGAAGGGGGACTGGCTCTACAAATCAACGCAAACAGACTTGTTCTTAAGTTCCCGAACTAGGCCGTAACAAGGGTAGGAAGGACTCTATAGCTCTTCAGAGCAACCAATCTAAAAGAAGAAAACTCATACACTGCAGAAGTCATACACATAAGACCATAACTCAAACAATCGGTTAGAAATGGGAGGGGGGAGGGGGGATCCAAATGTGAAATCACGAAGAGATCTTTTTTCGCCCTAACTTTACTATTTTTACTTATCTTCCCGTGTTTACCAAACGAATTTTCATGAAATTTGACTTACAAAAGCCGAGCTGCATGCTATGCCCAAACATGGATTTATTTTCTAGATTTATATGACCACACCATATCTTTTTGTTTTTGAACATTTAACATTATTATCTCAATCATGTGTTTACCGCCAATAGGTAACCTAAATGTAATTTAATTCCATAAACAACATAAATTATGTGTTTTTCTTGTTGAAACGTCGAATTTGATACCAAACACGACCATATTTGAGCTATTTTTAAAGATGACCTTGACAATGACCTTGACCTCTTATAATCTTTAAATGCTAATTAAGTGATAACTATTGGGTCAATTTTAAAAATAAAAGTATTTTTGTTTTTCATTTGACAATCTCTTTCATTCTGAACAAATAATGACATCTTTTATCGAATTCGAAAATTGACCTTTTTGACTTTTTTAGGTTAAAATTAAGCATGTTCCCCGGGGCGATTTTGGTTCAGTTTTTTGGGGTAGTACTTAACAGCTTAAAGTTCAAGCTGACGCAAAAAAATTGGTTGTTATGTTTCATGTCCGGGTTGAATGTCAATTTTTACTGGCCTATAGCCCTAATCGAAATTCGAAGCGCTATGAACGGTGACGTGATGTCAACACGTTGTACTGTCTGCGACAACCACACACGCGCGCTCAGTGACTGGCGTTCGTTGAACAGCACAAGTCTGATCTAGACTATCTCAATATAAGAAAAGACGATTCGACAGGGCTTCGAATTGCAGAAGTTAGATCTGGGCTTATGTTATACAAGAAAAAACTATTCGACGGCGCTGTGAATACCGGATGTTAGATCTGGGCTTATCCCATGTAAGAAAATACGATTCGACGACGCGGTGTTTAGCTAGCGGATGTTGAGTAGCGGCACTTAGGTCTGGGTTTATGCTTATCAAAATATATAACCAAAAAAATATTCGACGGAGGTATTTGACTGTCATGAATAGTGAGCTCACGCTTCGAAGCTTCGTTGATTTTTTATTTATTCAAAATCGCTCAGCACTACTGGGTACAGATACCTGCCCATCCCTACTGAACAAACCATCTTGCTTTGTAACGAATAATGCGTCATACCATAATGTAGTGGGGAAGGTGGACAAAACTCCAACAAGTGCAAGCTGGAAAGAGGGAATAAAAGATTGGCTCAACAAAGAGAGCATACCATTTGCACCTTCTCAGCTTAAACCCAAGCTCATATTGCTCATTAAAGAAAGTAGAAAGGCGAAAAGATTGTTACTTCATAAAATTATCATTGAGGAGCAACGACACGTTTGTCTACGGTTGTCACCCTTCCACTTCCACTTGAAAACAATAATTATTGAACTCGTGTGGGCGAAGATCAATTAAGGCATCTCAAAGTACAACCTTTAAATATTGAAAAATGTCAAACAGCTAACAGAAAATGCGATATCTCGAGGGAACAAAGTTTTTTGGGGGTGGTGTGAAACACAGGACTTCAGTTCATACAACCAAGAGTAGTGATCAACCCGTGTGAAGACTCGTTTGGCTCGCTGACAGAAGAAAGGTAGGTCAATGCTTAGACAACTTCTTGCCACATACTGTAAGCACTAAATGTGTTGTACCAATGATAAAGAGTAATAAATTAATCAGTCACTAATTTGAATTTTCATAATGTCGTGGGTGCACATAACTATTACTAAAAATATTGTTCAAATCGAACAAGTTGTTGCTGAGATATTTGGCTTCACATACTATGGGAGGGGCGGGAATTTAATTTTGTGAGAAATAAGTCTAGGCAAAAAGCTGAAAATTGACGGCAATTTAAATTCCGGCTCTTTCAAGAGATTTAAGAACATAGACAAAGCAGTCCTTTCTGCAATGTATTTTTATGATGGATGTGAGGTTTGACCTGATCGGCACAAGTGCACTGCAACCGTCTTTGACGGAGAAAACTTGAAACCGTGTTCATGCCCCCACTATTCAAGTTTTTGCAGCTGAAATTTTCATTGAAATTTCCAAAGAAGGCAGGGCGAGAGCTTCAAGTCTCCAAGAATGTTGTACTTCCAGGTTGCGTCGAAGGCTTTATCTAGGTTTTAAAAATAAGACGGCAATCATGTGGCCTCACGTCCAGCGTATAAACGTCTCCAGACGGACCAGGTGATTCAGAGTGGATCGAGTTTTCCTGAATCCGTACTGGAGACCGCTCAACGAGCCCATGAGTTGTCGGGGAATCGTTTTTTTTTTCAGCATGTTTGCACAGACAGTTCGTTAATCCGATTGGTCTGTAGTTGGATGGGTGTGTGTGGTCTTTGTTACGTTTGGGTACTGGAGCGACAGTGGCGAGACCCCAAAAACTACGGAACAGAGTGCGGAGCGCCACATGTTGTATATCTAGTAGGAGAGTGTTTTTATATGTCTAATGATCTGGTTGTGTATTGCATGGTGTCAGTTCGTCTAATCTGAAGTCTGCGTTGAAGGTTTCAGTGTTAGAGTGGAAGTTCAGTTGTTGCTGTTCTCTGTTAGCTTTGATGTTTTGGAGAGAGATGTTCCAATAATTTTGGAAATGTATTTTCGAAGGGATTGTCCTTTGCTCTCCCTGAGACATCTACGTGCCTCAGCTCGAGCTTTTAAAAGATTTATTTTGTTTTCTGCGGTGTTGTTGTCGACGGCTCAGTGAATGCTGCTTTTTTTTCTTTACCGCATCATTGCAATCCCCAGAAATCTTTTCCTTTCGGGGTTTTAGAGATGTATGAGTTTTTGGCATATTTCTATTTCGTGGAATTTCTTGTAGTTGAGGTCGAAAGTGGGGTTCAATGACGAACCTGTTCCAGTATGCTTTTTTTTAAATTGAAGAATTCCAGGATCTGGTTGTTTTGGAGGCTATTGTTATTAAAGGAATTGGGAAATGATCCGGTCTTCTAGCCCTGACCACTCAAGATCTTGGACTATTGGAACGTACAAATTGACATCGAACCCGGACGTGAAAGATGACCTCTCCCATTTCTAACCGATTGTTTGAGTTATGGTCATAAGTGTATGACTTATGTTCATATATACAAATAATGAGAACAATTTAAAGGCAAACAAGTAACCAGCTATGAAAAACAAAATCTTACAGTCAAACAATTATTCTTCATGTGTTTTTCATATCCACAAGGCAATGATGGTTTTATATTAACACAGTTTTCCTTCTCCTGGACAGATTGCCTTTCAGAGCTGTTGATCTCTGTCGGAACAAGGTTTGATTTTGGAGTTTCCTTCTTCTAGGTTGGTTACTCTGAATAGCTATAGAGTCCTTCCTACCCTTGTTATGGCCTAGTTCGGGAAGGTAGGAAGAAGTTTGTTTGCACGCCGTGGGCCAGGCACACTCAATGTATAAGAGGGTGCTGAGACATCATTCCTTTGTTCCTACCCTGGGCCCAATTTAAATTGTGTCCGCTTCTGAAGCATTTTCACACAGTCCGCTGCAATGAGAATGTACGGGATGTTGTACGTGTAGCAAGTACAGGATTTGCATAGTGGAGAGCTGCTCTTACACGTGGAGCGAATTTCATGTAGCAGTTCATCAGGGGCCGGAGCATGTCAGTTATCACTGGACTCAAAATGCTGTCACTCACAGTTAAGGCCTAACAAACAAAGTCAAAGATAGCGTGGAGATTAAGCCTGGTGGTGCACTCTAAGAGCATGGAATTGTGGGGCTCTCTCTGTTGGAGCCATCCGTTCAAGTGGCACGTACTTTGGGGAAATGAACTGTTGAACTCAGGTTTTGCTGTCCATTGCATTAGAGGAATGACAAGAACTTGACTGCTATGTCTGTGATATCCTTTACATTTGCATCTGTTTGCCCAAAAATAGTGATCTGCTGTTGCCAATGCTCTCACTTTTGCAACTGCAACAGCTTGCCCATACCGAAGAGAGCAGACGTTGTGTCACATCCTGACACGGCATGTGCAAACAGGGCCTATGATCATTTTAGCTGCTTGAATTTCTATTTGGACATTACTTCGCTTCATTTTAAGCAGACTTCCATGTCCTGGCTCAAATGATGAAGAAGTATTACCAGGTGCAAACTGTAACACTTTTCTCACAACGGTTGTGTCCGTATCCCCTTCTTCTTCGGCATGAGCAACACAAATGCCGCTTCTTCTAATGACGACCCTAAGCGTCGCGCCCATGATGGCTTATTGCGTACGCAGTCTCCCTCCTCTTTTGCTCAGGTGCTTTAGTAGTTATCGTTTCACAACTGTCAAAGACGACACAAAGTTCAATATCTGGTGTCCTGTTGTGGAGCAAACGAATAGCTGACACAATGTTTCTACTGTTCCAACCTATGGCCAGTTTAGGCGATGAGGCATGTAGATGCCATCATACATCAGATAACGAGGCTTGTCGTTGACATTATTTACAACAATGTTAAGTGATATTATGATGTGATTGGCCAGGAGAGATTTGTTCGTTTTCCTCATACTCCCGTCGTCGTGAAGTAAGGCAGGAGCCACATGTGAAAACTCATACTTGAATAAAGAAGTTTCATATTCAAGGGGGACCACGGAGGCAGGCCATTGAAAACAGTCGCTGGTGCATCTCAGATGATGACATAAAGATGTTGTCGTTCAGGATTTGCACGAGTTTACGCATCACCTTGAATGCCATAGCACATACCAGTCTATTTAGCATGTACTTTCCAGCCAATCGTAAGTGCATCATCAACGTTGACCCTGCTATCGGCGTCCACATCTGTAGAAATATTCATGAAAGTTCCTTTCCCTGAAGGTTTGAACTGTATGTTCATACTGTGTGCCTCCAGAAATGACACAAAGTTCTTCAGATCATCAGTGTCGCGTCTCCGAGAAGCCAGGCGCATTTCTCTCCTAGAATCTTGTTTTCTAGATCTAAGCTATCTTCACATTATAAAAAAATACAATACCAAAGAAAAGAGAATCTTTTCGCCTCAGTTGTTCAACCCTAAACGCCGTTGCAATCTAAACGATACAGACGAAAACTCAATCAAAAGCTGAAGTGATAAATGAAATTAAGCTTTTCGCCTCGCACGCACCACGCTGGCGCGCTGTTTTTCACATCACTTTCCACTCACCGCGAGCGCCATCCTGGATTCGGGTAGTTGTGCATGCAAGAAAGAGATTGCCTTTTCGTTTTTCACTCTCAAACTTTCAAAAAGTATTCAGATATCATTTTGGAATTGTTTCTTGTTGTCGAAAGTTGAGTTGCTTGAACGCATCGATTTACAGGCGAATTTGTAAGATCACATCCGAGAGCGTTACCGAAACGTTTTAAGTTATACGTTGAAAGCCGCGGCGCTGAGAAGACTCGCTCTCAAATGAGTCACAGATTCTACGTGTACACGGAAAGATCGGATGATGAACCTGATGTTGAAACAGAAGAAGATTGTAATGATTGGGATGAGGTTAACAGTTGACAATAAAGCATAACCGTTAGATTTTGATAAAGAAGCGACCCGTACAGAACCAAGTATACGAGAGAGTAGAATTCGTAGACATGAGAGGACGGACTGACGGGAGTGTTGAAATTACGATATGGAGACCGATGTAGTTGTAAAGTTACAAAGGAGAGTAAAGCATGACACACAAAAATATTATAATAACAAGAATAAGTATTTTTAGGATTAAGTATTATTAGGATTAGAAGATAAAATGCTGCGAGCTTGAAACACAAGCTATTTTCCCCTCGATTCTCAGCTGACTGGTACAAGGTGTGTTTTAGATATTTACTGACTGAAGTTGATGAACTTTTATAAAACTGAAACAAAACAACGATAAGAGTAAAGTCTTTGGAGTGCCACCTTAATTACCTTACTTTGAACCTGTCTGTAGATTTTCCTGTCTACTCAGTGACGCTGTTTGTTCATCCTTTTTTTCTGCTCCCGTTTTTTCTCTCCTACACTGCTCTGCTCTTTGCAAAATGGTATTTTCAAGACCAGACATGTTTTGTGACATTATCTTTTAGGAAAAAGCTATACCAAAGAAAACACAGATGTTAGGAACGTGCAGGAAACAATAATTATCGAATTTGACTGTAGAAGAAAGCATTGGCAAATGGTGTTCAGGTGGATCAACATTCAAGAATCTAAGTCAAGTCTCTTTACGTGCAGACAGACAGACAGACAGACAGACAGACAGACAGACAGACAGACAGACAGACAGAGGTAGAGAGAGAACAGACATACATCTGTGGTATAGCAATAAGGCGCTTCGCTGCCGCTCGCAGAATACCCGAATTCGATACCCGAGTGAGGAGAAAATCGTTGGATTCCTCTCAATCCGCGTTGTTTCATTATTGATCAAAATAATGTCGGTAAGGGTGTAAAACTTCTTCAGTTGTATTATAATTGTAATATTGAGAGAGAGAGAAAGAGAGAGAGAGAGAGAGAGAGAGAGAGAGAGAGAGAGAGAGAGAGAGAGAGTTCCCGTGGTAGATTTCCGTTGAATTTTTTTAAAAATTATACATGTACTTAATACCCTAAAGAACAAGTTTACGCACAAATTTGGTTGTTAACCTTAATGTCCACGTCCACACCATTTTCATGTCAATTTTTACTGGCCTACAATTCTATACGATTCTGCTGTGAACAAAAATATTTGATTCCAGTTTTAAAACTACCTCAACTTACTGATAAAATACAAAGGTGCTTATTTCATTTATCGGCGCATATCCACACACAGATTGTACGCAAGATATCACTGTCTGCTAACACGCTCAAACTTTCATTTCATTTAACCATATAAGTATGCACATACAATCTAAGAGCAGGAACACCATCCCATTAAAGAAAACAGAGCTCTCATCATGGATATAGTCTTGAAAGTTTTTAAGAAGAAAAAAAAGGTCTGGAGCCGCGAGAGTGTACAAATTTGGCGTTTTAGAAGGTGGTGTTGTCAAAGAAGAACACCCTGTGGGGCTAAAGCTGCAAGCCCTACACCACAAGACGCCATTGGTTAACCAATGTTATTAAATAATTACCCCGTGCTCATCTAATACGCTATGAGAAAGCCTAGTTTATGAGAGACTCGAGACCAACAGCAAAAACCGGCTCAAATTTTCATGGCGTGTAATTCTTTCACAAGGAGTATCAAAATCTCATAGAAATCAAAATTTAAGGACTAAATAAATTCTTTGAAAGTATAAAGCGTAAGTCAGGCATCTTTTTTCATGTGATGGCGCGACAACGCCCTCGCTTCTTTGCCAAAAAAAAAACATTCACAAAACTAAATTCTATAATACCGGTATTTCCTATTCCAATGTGTACATAGCAAGTTAAAATGAGGCATACGTAAAATGTGAAATGAAACAAGCAATTTCAAAAATGAATATACAAGGATGTTATATATGAAAAAAAAAACTATTTGCCTGCGGTAACAGCCAAGCCCAGGAACAAACAAAATTTCACAATCATGGTTGCTGAAGTGACAGTCAAAAGATCCTGGTCGATCAAAGAAACAAGAACTGATGTGTTTCCTCTCTTCTGGCTACCACTTCGTGACTAAGGACCTATAACTGTGGTAGACTTTCCACCTTATCATATTACGAAACAGTAATTGTTTGATAAGAGATTGAGCTGGCCAACGCCTTGGAGCTTTCTCCAGTTCTAGAATAAACTCTCTTGTTACGTAAACATACTGTGGCGTGATGTTTGCGGTGTTTCTACTAACCGAGAAATAAAGTAAAAGTAAAACTTGAAAACAATTGTACCACTTTCTTAATTCTATATTGTGCCTTATAAAACATACTTCGATATAATGTGCCTCTTTGGAAAAGGCTTGTCTTCAAGTCTGCCGACACAACACAATATAGCAATTTTATATATATATATATATATATATATATATATATATATATATATATATAATTGCGTACATGTGGATGGTTGTATTCTATCGCTGAAAAAACTACAGAACGTAGAACAATGAAAAAATTACTGAAGGTAGTTCAAAGACCAAGCTAGGTTTCTATCTGTTCAGCAAATGCGTCCATTTACATTTGCCTTTAAAAAAATTAGAAAAATGGAAAACACTGTCGTCCGTTTACGATTTTCCCGTTCGTCATTTCAGTGCAGTGTTCAAGGCATTTCGTTTTCCATGACATAAAAATTGCTCTTCCGCCGAAAATAAACAAATGTTACTGTTGAGTGAGATGTTGTGAACACTGAAAATACAGATGGGGATTGAGGTGGCTTACAGAGTGTTACTTTTCTGTGGTAGTTAGAGTAGTAAGTGACGAAGGCGGTATATCAGGTGTGTGTGTCTGTGTGTGTGTGTGTGTGTGTGTGTGTGTGTGTGTGTGTGTGTGTGTGTGTGTGTGTGTGTGTGTGTGTGTGTTAGTTTTGATCTATCTAGATCTAGATGAGAATAAAGGGTTTTTTATGTTTTTCCTATGGCTCCAGCAGTTGAAAACATCTCATCGGAGATGTTGGTGTTCTGGAATTTATTATTGTTAGTAACAAATCTGGAAATCGTCTAAAGTATGGAGTGAGCCTTCTGAAAGACCCAGTAAAGAAGAATGAGTTCAAGTTGGAACTGAAGAACAGATTTCAAGCCCTTCAAGATCTGGATGAATGTGAAGTCAACGAACTTTGAACGAATGTTACTTTACTGCCTTTCCTGCCCTGCTTCTTCGTGTGTTTTTTAAATATATTAATTAATGTACGTGATTTTACACCCCCGTCCTGTCACTGAGAGAGATCATACAACATCACCCTGAGATACTTGATAGAAAATATTTCCCCTCTCAGGGATCAACACAAGGTGTGCTGCATTCGACAGCGAAACTCTTAACCGCTACACCACATACGCTGGTTCTCTTGCTCTGTATCCATCTGATCTTTGGTTGCATGCGTTCTTATTGGATGCATCACTTTTTGCTGATCTAAAGAATGTGTACTTTTGCTCAAGACTGTTGGCACTCTTATGGAATTAGATTAAAAACCATTTGTGTCTGCTGCTTTTTTTTGCTTTTTTTTTGGGGGGGGGGTTCTTTTCTGTGTGTGCAATATATTTTAAAACGAAGCAGTGCTCCAAAGTGTCATAAAAAGCATGGGCATTATCCAGAATTACTGATTTCAGCCCATGTATGTCTTTCCAATCCTTTGGGAACTTTCTCTCATTCCAGATCCTTGTAAACAATGGGACAATGAGGTCTGCCGTCACATCGGCATCTGTTTTTAGGACTTCTGGAGGAATCTGATCAGCACCGTTGTTCTGCTTCTTAATGGCATCCATAATCTCTTGTTTCCACGGAGCATCACAGCAGATTTTCAGGCTGGCAGGATATTTGGCGGGTAACTTGGCGGTGGTCTGTTCAGGAGACTGTTGAAATGACTAAGAGACTTACTTGGAACTTTGATCTTTTTGGTTCCTGTTCTGGTTCCGTGCTTTTTTAGACGAAGCCTGAGTTTTGCTAACAGCAGAGATGATGATCCGACCCAATGTCTTGCCCCTCTCTGTATTGTGAACGCTTGAACCTACGAGAGATACGAAAATGATCGATCTGGTTCTCCGTCAAGTAGCCTTCATCACTATGAACATAATTCAGATCTACGTCCGAACAAATGAAGCTTCGAATAAAGACAAGGATGCCAGCCCCAGGGGGTCATCGACAAACTACCAAGGAAGGATGTCAACATCATAATGGGAGATGCCAATACCAACGTCGGTCAGGACAACGTAGGTTATGAGGGAATCATGGGACAACATGGCTTGGGACAAATGAATGAGAATGGTGAGCGATTTATTTGTGCTTTCAATAGTTTTGTCACTGGAGGCTCTGTTTTTCCCCATAAGGGTTTGGCCAACAATCATGACGTCGGGGGGG